TCACCCCCCCATGCGCGGGCCGGACGAAACAGAACGAGGCAATTCGCTTCCATTTCGGCATTAAATTCATTTCGCTTTAGCCTCGTCCATCACCATGCCATCGTCGTGCTCCTGTGCAAGGCCCATATACGGCAAAGCTGACCCTCCGTGACGCTCATATGTCGAGGGACGGAGCACATACTTATGCGAGCAATTTAGGAGAGGGAAATGACCAGCTTCCCTCGCTTTCGCAAGCCCAGATGCAGCTTTGACCATTTGGAGCTCATGCTTGTCAACAAAAGTTTTCTTTTCTTTTTTAAAAAAAACAAAACATCCTGCAGTCAGTATTTTGAAAATTGACGCCGTACTTAAAGTAAACAGTTCAAAACTGTTAATTCATGTCGGCCAGCCTACAGTTTACAGTAAAAATACCCGAAAATGAACCAGTTGGAAACCGGTATTTTGATTAACGGTTTGTGGTAGATTCACTTATACAGTGTATCGAGTGTATCACAGTACACATACCGTACCGAGCTATGAACGAGTAGATCTATATAGAAGAAGGTATTTGGCACATCTATCAATTTATTGTTTCATTGAGTGTTTCTAGAGCATATAAAAAACTCAAGGCACAGAATAGGAAGAAAGTGAAAATGTTCACCCACAAAAAACAACAAAAAACAAAACAAAACCAAAAAAAGACACAAATCAAAAATAGCGGGATGAGCAACGTGTCTGGGGGTACACACAGGCACTGTGGCCTTAGCTACTGGTGCTGGAGATTGTGCTGGAGTGCAGACATATATCATGAGCAGTGCTTGAGTGCGGATAGTGAGACAGGGCAAAGGCCCCAGCAGAGATCCGGCATGGATGGCGCAAAAGTTACGTGTATTTCATGGAATAGAGTGCGGTTTTCTTTTTCTGACGGATTCTTTCGAAGACTTCGAGAACGCAAGTAGGAGCCTGTGACAAAGGCACCCCATCGGAAAACCGACGGGAAAAACATTTCCAAAACTCGTGAGGGACCTAGTTGGCATCCCGGAGCCTCCAGAGAGGGCCGTGAAAACATGATTCCTCATTCCATTATATTGCGACTCACGTAACTTGGGCGCGATCTCTCACAATAAACAACAGGCGCACGAAGCGGGACGCGGAGCGCTCGTGAGGCAGCGAACTCGCAGACCCGAGCCCACGTAAATCAGTTCGGGGGATCGCTGGAGCGGCACTTTGGAAAGTGCGTACTTCACACGATGCACCGAACGAAAACCACATATACGTGCGAAAAGTATCGCGCAAAATAATCTGCAAGCCTAAGTGGCAGGCGGAGTTGACAAGGTTGAAAAAAAAGTGCTGCTAAAAGCCTTCGCACTTCAGAATGTCAACCGCAGAGATTATTAAGTTAAACGTTCAAACTATACCACTTTTAGTGGTACGGTGTACAATGTAACATGTTAGCTGGCGGCTAGCAGAGGTCCCGCCCGCGCATTCAGAAAACTGTTTTCTTATTTCAAGTACGTTTTTTGAACTAAAATCAATTTTATGTTTGAGGCAAGATGTTACCTTTGAAAAATTGCTCTCACTGGAAAGGAAATCAGTGAAATCCCCCTTTTTTTTTTGAAAATTTCCGAACAGGAAAACAAACGTGCCATTTTACACCAAAAACGATAATTGGAGAATAAATTAAGAAATGTTAGTCAAAAGTGCATAAGAATTTTCCAAAGAAGCAGCGATTTGAAAATTTTCTAAACTGCTCGGGGTGCAAATTTTCCAACTAACTTTTTGGAAATTTTCACCAAACATTTTCACAGCGTGCCACAAAATGTACTTAAAACAATGATTTTCGTGGGTGCGCCTCGCCCGCGCCTCACCCGCGCGCCCACTGGGGCCCCGCTGGGGCCCGAGGCCTCGCGCTTGACCGTACCTGTGCCGAGGGGCGGGGGAGCCGACGCCCCCGGGGGGCCCTTACGCGGGGGGCTAACTGTCGGCGCCCGCTTGGGGGTCAGTGGGGCTATGGTGTTCCCCTTGGCGGAGGAGATCTTGGTGGCGGGACTGGGGGTCGCACCTGGGACACGGTCTGCAACAGCACGGAGGGGGTGAGGGTGTTGGGGGGTGTGGGGGCTGTGGGGGGTGGGTCCCTTCTACCGTGAGCATCACCAGGTGTCAGTGTGAGCCAGAGAGGAAAAAAATAACTTTTCCAAACGACTCTTTTTTCATTCCTTTTAAATCAACAAACTTGAAGTCTAGCTTTTGGTCAAGGCAGTTTCATTATCATCATCACACAGTGCTCGCAGAGACAG